TGGCACAAATCCTCTCAAGCGTGGTGATGACAACATCATGTTTGCACACCTAAATGTGAACTTATAGTAGCACCCACAATGACTCAACTGTTTATTTGGTTTCATTTGATTTATTTTACCTTTATATAAACAAGTAACTTTAGAACATGACTCTTATTTACAATGACGCCCTGGCTGAGAATGCCGTGGGAAAAGCCCTTTTAACTTGATAAATTAATATTCATGAATAAAACAATGCTTTAGTGGAAACTAAAGCAATGTAGCAATGCTACATTCAAATGATAAACTTTCAATATTTAATTACAATTTCTGTTCTGTACTTTTTTTTGTGTAGTTGCCTGGCTAATCTTCATATTATTTCAAGTTATTTATATTTTCTCACCTTTATGGGTAAAATAACAGCAATACTCACATTTTATTTGACATAAAAAAAAGTCGGATCACAGAAATCACACTTGCGATAGCATTCCTTATTATTTACTTTGCTGTGCTTAATACATGATATGGTTAGTTGCACTATTTAATTTTTTAATACATTTTTTCCTTGCTGTCTGTGACCCATCAGATAAATAAGAAAGTCAAAAAAAGAATTAAAAATATTAATAAATCCTCTAATAGTATATAAATAATACTAAATTAACTCTGATTCTCAATGGTAATACTTTTTAGATTTTTTTATTACTATAACTGTAACTATAACATAAACTGATATCATGTTATGTAAATATTAAACAATTTAAATAAAATATCATAAATATCTTCGTTTTTTTCACTGTACAGTAAATAGAATTTGAGGTAAATTATGTTTTTGTGACATTAATGCAAAAAATCCTAATGGTCCTAAAATATATATTTCCTTTATGATTTCCTTTACTGTATATTTCCTAGAATTATTATACAAATTTAGAATTATATCCCACAGATAAACCGTTTTAAATATTGTTTAGAAAAATAACCATTTTTTAACAGACTACTTGCTGTGTGTGTGGTGATTATGATTATTATTATTTTTTATGGGGATTTTAAAAGTCACAGTGACATGTGAGTCCTACTTCCACTAATTAGTCCAATCCTCATCAGCTCATTACTGTATACAATTAGGATAATTGTCTTCCTTGTATTCAGGATAGTTTTTTTCAGCTATGCACTTTTATTTCCCAGGGTTGTTTTTTTTTTTTGCAAAACAGTTCATACTTTTTTATATGAAGGTCACATTACTGTGCTGAGAACCTTTTACCCTGCCTTTCATATTAGTCTTTGTTTGTTTGTTTGTTTGTTTGTTTTACTCATTTTAAAATGCCCTTTATCTATAGATTTTATGGTTTTATTCTCATCCTAAACCTAGACTTTCTAGACCAGTATATAAATATTATTACATCTATAACCTTAAAAAAAGAGGCAAACACATTTTCGAAAACGTCTCACAATCATTTACACCAATATTTTGCCCCTAATAATGTTTTTGCTTGTTCACTTCAATTATCAGTGAAGAGCTTCACATGTGATCAAGGTAAATATGACTTGTGTACAGAATATTTCATTGTGCATCATTTCTAATCAAGCTGTAAGTTAATTGTCAGATTATACCAAAAGTGTGAAAATAGCCTGTTTTTTTGCTATCTATGTGGGAAAAAAAGAGCCAGTCACATAAAATGAACACAACACTGGCTGTAACAGTGAAACAGTGAGGTAGGCAATATTTGAATGACAGGGTAGGGTAAAGCATAATACATCACACAAGTTGTAGGTTTTGTCAGTGTGTCAGTGTCATGAATTTATCAATAACAGAAACAAGAATTTAACAACAGGGTTTATGGTTTCAGTCTTCTAGGAGGGCTGGATTTGGATTAAAGCCTGCGCAGGTTTATAGGGTGAGGCATCGTTTATTAGAAAGACGCCCATAACTGACAATTCATTCACCTCAGAGAGACTTGAAAACTGCTGAATATTCTAGTTACAGCTTTTGTTGAACACTGTTCATTAGAGGTACTTCTATGTCTGTCATTTAAATAGAACCACCAGATTTGAGATATTTGTGTGCAACGATGAAGAAGATAATACTGTTATTTAAACTATTGCTATTTCTCGCTCAGCTTGTGAAAATGGAGCCTTTGTCTGCAGCAAACACACAGTTCTCTCTAAAACTGTTCAAGAAGATCAGCGGAGGAAACACATCTGGAAATGTGTTCTACTCTCCGATCAGCATCTCCTCAGCTCTGGCCATGGTGTCGCTCGGAGCTAAAGGAAACACAGCGGCGCAGATGTTTAAGGTGAGCTCACATTTATGCATTTTTTAAAGGCCAGTTGTTTTTCCTTTAATCTACATGACAGAAGTGAAAATTTTTGTTCCAATTCTTCATTCATTCAAATGGAATTCAGGAATTTGAATTAAAAGGAATTCTCAATTCCATGGAATGCTGCCACATTCCTGCTCTGAGGAGTGACTACTGTGAGATTTTTCCTGGGATAATGAGCTTTGTGCTTGTACAGACAAGACTATTGTGGTCTCATTTTGCAGTTTCACTTAAAGGGCAGGACACAGAAAAAGATGGTCACTCTTGGGTTTCAGATATGACTAAATGCTCAATCTGTGTCTTTTCAGTTGAATAAATAACAGTATGATACTAACGTCAGAATAGTGAGGTTGCCTTTATTAATTCTACTAAAAAAATGCTGTATAGGTTTTGGGGTTTTCCAATCATGCCAAGCCTGATGCTGCGACTCCAGCTCCTCATCAACAAGCCCAGAAGCCCCAGATGCCCTGCGGTGTTAAGGGTCAACATGAACCATCAATGACGCAACAAACCCAGAAGTTTGAGCTACCTCCCGAACTCAAGGTTTAGTATGAGTATTTTCATGAAGCACTAACCTCATGGCGATTGCAATGACAGCTGTATTTGCCAAATTGGTGCATGTAGATTTTAATTCAACTTGATATTACTTATGCAAACAGAAATCTCCTGCTCAGCCAACACCTGGACAAAAGATTGAGGACCAAATTCATTCCAGCTTCAACAAGCTCATGAGTGAACTGAAGAAACCAGGAGCCCCGTATGTGTTGAGTCTCGCCAACCGCCTCTACGGAGAGCAATCCTACCAGTTTGTGGAGGTAAGACTCAAAGCAATTAATTCAATGTCGTGGAAATGTTCTCAACACTAATTTCATTTGCACACCAATCGATTTGCTATGTTACAGAAATACCTTAATGATGCAAAAAGATACTATGAAGCCGGACTGGAGGAGGTGGATTTCGAAATGAAATCAGAGGCTGCACGTGTCAACATCAATAAATGGGTGGAGAAAAACACTCAAGGTATAGACCAGCAATTATAATTTTAGTCTTAGTCATTTCATGTTTTCGGCAGCACTAGGTACAGCAGAAATGGCAATGTTTGGCTACATGGGCTCTTGAGTTGAGCTATATGGTTATTTAAAAAAAAGATTAAAAGTTCAAACCAATGCTCAAAGTGGACAATGCACATTTGTATTTTAGGGAAGATCAAGGACTTGCTTCCACAGGGATCAATTGATTCAATGACGAGACTGGTCTTGGTGAACGCCATCTACTTCAAGGGGAACTGGGAGAAGAAATTCCCAAAGGAAGCCACCAGAGATGGACAGTTTAAGATGAACAAGGTGAGATTTTGCGTTCTTAATTTCTTTTTGAAATACAATCATTTAAGTTGCTCGTGCAGTAACAGTGATGAAATATGAGGAGTTGTGACGTGTTTCCATTAATGCTTTGCAGAATCGAACTAAGCCAGTGAAGATGATGAAACAGAAGGCACAGTTTCCTCTGGCCTTAATCCCAGAGATCGACAGTCAGGTTCTGGAGCTGCCGTATGTTGGAAAGAATCTCAGTATGTTGATCATCCTTCCTAACGAGATTCAAGATGAAACCACAGGCCTTCAGAAGGTGAGACAGCACAGATTATACTCCTGAAAATGAAGGTTCCAAAAGTGGGTTTTCGCTGCGAGGCCATAAAAGAACCATCTTGGGTTCCCCAAAGAACATTTCAGGGAACAGTTCCATTCTTTCTTAGTGTGAAGAACGTTTTAATAATCTAAAGAACTTTTTGTGGAATGAAAAGGTTCCATGGATGTTAAAGGTTCTTCACTGAACCATCAATGCAAATAACCATAGTGTATGTGGTTTGTTGTTTCATTATATGTTAACAGCAAATACATGTGCAGAGTTCCTAGTATTCATGATGGTTTTAAAAAATATTCATACCATTTGTATGGCTTATCCAGCTTGAAAAGGCACTGACCTACGAGAAGCTGATGGAGTGGACCAAACCCAGCATGATGCGTCAACAAGAAGTTGAAGTATCTCTGCCCAGATTCAAGATGGAGGAAACCTATGACATGAAGAGTCTTCTGATCAGCATGGGAATGGAGGATGTGTTTGACGGGCAGAAGGTGAATCTTTCAGGCATGTCTCCCAACAATGACCTCGTGGTGACGAAGGTGATTCATAAAGCCTTTGTTGAAGTAAACGAGGAAGGAACTGAAGCAGCTGGAGCCACCGGTGCCGTCGTCGCCATTCGTTCATTTGCACAGATGTTTATTGCAGACCATCCGTTCCTTTTCTTCATCCGTCATAATCCCTCCAATAGCATTCTGTTTTATGGACGCTTCTGTTCTCCTTGAAGATGGCAATAATGAAGTGATCATTCTAATTGTATGTGTTCCTCTGATAAATAAAGTCTATTAAATAATTGAGTGAAATTGTCTGTATGCATTTACTTTGAAAGCACTGACTCATGAGTTCTGACACAAAAAAGGCAACAGAACTAAACAAAATAGGAGATAGATAGACAGACAGACAGACAGACAGACAGACAGATAGACAGATAGACAGACAGATAGATAGATATATAGATAGATAGATAGCGAGGTATGACTGAAACCAAATAATTGGTAACTCTAATTTCATTTGCATCTCAGTTGATTTGCTTTGTTACAGAAATTCCTGAATGATGCAAAAAAATACTATGAAGCCGGACTGGAGAAGGTGGACTTCAAGAAGAATTCAGAAGCTGCACGTGTCAACATCAACAAATGGGTGGAGAAAAAAACACAAGGTGCCAATAAATCGAATTTTACATGTAGTCTAAACTGCATATGTTTTTCAGCACCTTCAACAAAATCTCTTTTCAAAGCCATGTTTGGCATCATGTGTTCTTGAATTGAGCTACATAACTCTTTGGAAGTTAAGGTTTTGATATACTTTCAGTAGTTTTGTTCACAGTGTAATACTATGCAACATATTGAACAAAGCATTGACTTTATATTTGGCCATGAAGTTTACAATTCTATTAGAACGATGTCAGGAGCTTTGAGACAGATGCCTCAATAGTGTCGCTTTAAATCAATGCTCAAAGTGAAAAATGTCCATTTGAATTTCAGAGAAGATCAAGGACTTGTTGCCACCACAAGGTGTTGATGAAACTACAAAACTGGTCTTGGTGAATGCCATCTACTTCAAGGGGAACTGGGAGAAGAAATTCTCAAAAGAAGCCACCAGAGATGGACAGTTTAAGATGAACAAGGTGAGATTTCAATGATGAAATATTCTGAACGGTCATGAAATATGAGGACTTCTTTCTATTAACCTATTGATGCTTGGCAGACTCAAACTAAACCAGTGAAGATGATGAGACAGAAGTCAAAGTTTCCTCTGGCCTTCATCCCAGAGATGAACAGTCAGGTTCTGGAGCTGCCGTATGTCGGGAAGAATCTCAGTATGTTAATCATCCTTCCTAACGAGATTCAAGGTGAAACCACTGGCCTTCAAAAGGTGAGACAGCACAGATTATATGGTGCATTTTTTCATTATTTGGAATTGCTGGTTGCTGCAAACATATAAAACGTTGAAGAGTTACTGTCTGCGTAACTTGCATTTTTTATATATTTTTGAATGAAATTAACACGACTCCCCTATTATCCAGCTTGAAAAGGCACTGACCTATGAGAAGCTCATGGAGTGGACCAAATCCAGCAAGATGCTTCAAGAGGAAGTTCAAGTATCTCTGCCCAAATTTAAGATGGCAGAAACCTACGGGATGGTGCAGTTTCTGCGCAGCATGGGAATGGAGGATGTTTTTGACCCACAGAAGGTGAATCTTTCAGGCATGTCGTCCAACAACAACCTGGCGGTGTCAAATGTGATTCATAAAGCCTTTGTTGAAGTAAATGAGGAAGGAACTGAAGCAGCTGCAGCCACCGGCATCACCATCACAACAACGTCAATGCCATTACCCCCGAAAACCTTTATTGCAGACCATCCATTCCTTTTCTTCATCCGTCATAATCCCTCCAACAGCATTCTGTTTTATGGACGCATCTGTTCTCCTTGAAGATACTAATGATGCGGTGATAATACGAAGTGTTTGCATTTCTCTGATAAATAAAGGCTCTAGCAAATAATGGAGTGAAATTTTTTCAATGCATTTACTTTCACAGCACTGATTCATGAGTTCTGACACAAAACAGACTACAGAATGGAAAAAATAAAAGATGCAACAGTCATGTCAATGCATTTTGTGTGAAAAAAATGGTTGCTTTTTAGTGAATACCAACCACTGCAAATAGCAAACAGATCGAAACACCATTGCACTGCAACAAAATTATGACTTAACAAAAACACATTACAATAAATAAATATGAGATGAATAAAACTGAATTTAACACATATTGCCTATACTGTATACAGCCATTACAACTTTTTCAAATGTTATTTTATGTTTGCTTTTATAGTGGATCTTTATTATTCCTAATTAGGCTTACTATTTAGCATTTTAGGCTCATTTTGAGCAAAAATTAAGTGCTTTCTCACTTTCTCAGATGTTGAAAATGTACATATTAACCAGGTGACGTTCTTCACTGCTGAGGTAGCAGTGCGAGACCATAATCAGTGTAGTTCGCAGCCGCTCTGTTGGAGAAAATAATGTTTTTTTTAACAAATATGCAACAAACAAAAATTAACAATTTCAAATATGGAATTAAGTGTGCAGGGCTTTTACTGTGAGGCTGAGTTCTCTGTGTGTGTATGAGTTACTGAATGAGTGAAGAACAGCGCCTACCTTGACTGTGTTTATGTGAATACTCACCAAGGTGGGCATTTTGACACATTTATGTCACACAATGAATCTCTTATTTACATCATATCTATTTTTTGTTTGTTATAATGAGAGGTGTCATTGTTCATTTTGAACAAAGTCAAGGGACTTTGACTCGGTACTGGACAAATACGGTGCACTCCTATGAATGCGAGTAAGTGCAACGTGCAATATGCAGGGTTCCTACACACTTTCCATTTCAAAATTCCATACTTTCTCAGATTCAAATTTCCAAACCTCTCAGTAGATTTTCAGACCATATTTAACATCAATGGTTCATACAGCATTATTTTCAGCTTTATATTTGGTATACAGTCATCTGTAAATATTTTTATTTTCTCTTGGGCTTTTTCATAGATTTTTTTGAAGTTACAACATACAGAGTCCATAAGAAGCTATTCACATGTGCATGGGAATTTTTTGCATGCTTACACATTACAACTTCTAGTTTTATATAACCTATTTCCTTTGTGCATCACTGCCATCTTACTATGAATAAAACAAGAGCATGGATGCACATGAATTAAGAGATCTGCTTGCTCAAAATTAGGCTTTTCTTATGGTAATAACAAGGCCTAATGTCCAATTTAACATCCTCTGTGGCGGCACAGAAACCATGGCACACAGTGGGCTGATGACATAATACAGCTGTGTGCATGGTCCTATTTGCCAAGTTCAAGGGTCCATAAAAAAGACTGGCACTGTAAAAAGGTGATCGAAATTTGGCTTTTGTTAGGAAAGTATGTCATATTTCAAGGCCTTAGGTCTCTTTAATGCATACTCTGTGGCAGCCAAGAAACCACACAGCAAAATGGGCTGATGGCACAATAGGTGTCGTGGCTCAGTGTGCATTGTCCTATATGCTAAGTTTAATGGTTTCTCGTGTGCACATAAAAGTCTGTACATAGCTATAGAAATTGCTATAGAAACAGTCAGCGTTCTGAGAAGCATGCTCAGGATTGCACATGCGCACTGGCTCATCTAACCTGAAAAATACGCTTTTTTCCATGCTATTTGAGCATTAATGCACAAAAACATTAATGAGACCGTTGTTGTCAGATTTCATTGGTGATTTCAAATATGACATTTAATCGAAAGCTTGGTGAACAGTTTTGGAGAATATGATGTTTCCCCATTCAAAGAGACATGAGTTGTACTTGCATGACTGAAATGAAATGTTTTAAAATGTCTTTTGGCACAGCAAAGAAAAAGTTGCACTAAAAAGATAAGTTTTTTTGTGTGTGTGTCAAAGAGGCAGGTGTGGCTCGCAAGCCATTGGTTCCCAACTGCTGAGCTAATCCGTTATAGGGTTGCACAGACACCAGGATTAAGAATGACCAATTGTGAATGATACAATTTAGATTTATCCTTCTTTCATTTATTTGACTTCTATGATAGGAGTGAAATAAAGAATGAATCATTCAGTTTATGTTTGATGGTGTTCCAAGTGGATAAATATAACAATATCTAATAGAAACATTAATTTATATTTTAGGCTGGACTTGGATAAATAGATTAGGGTGAGGCTTCATTTATTAGAAAGACACCCATAACGATTGATTCACTCGCGTCAGACACGCTGGGAAACTTTACCATTTCTGCTGATTATTCCAGGTAATGCTTTTGCTGAATTCTGTTTGTTAGAGGTACTTTATATGCAGTTTAGATGGTATCCTGCACAATAATATAATTTATTGATGTTATTTAAACTATTGCTATTTCTCGCTCAGCTTGTGAAAATGGAGCCTTTGTCTGCAGCAAACACACAGTTCAAGAAGATCAGTGAAGGAAACACATCAAGAAATGTGTTCTACTCTCCGATCAGCATCTCCTCGGCTCTGGCCATGGTGTCGCTTGGAGCTAAAGGAAACACAGCGGATTTGAATTTCAGAGAAGATCAAGGACTTGTTGCCACCACAAGGTGTTGATGAAACTACAAAACTGGTCTTGGTGAATGCCATCTACTTCAAGGGGAACTGGGAGAAGAAATTCTCAAAAGAAGCCACCAGAGATGGACAGTTTAAGATGAACAAGGTGAGATTTCAATGATGAAATATTCTGAACGGTCATGAAATATGAGGACTTCTTTCTATTAACCTATTGATGCTTGGCAGACTCAAACTAAACCAGTGAAGATGATGCGACAGAAGTCAAAGTTTCCTCTGGCCTTCATCTCAGAGATGAACAGTCAGGTTCTGGAGCTGCCGTATGTCGGGAAGAATCTCAGTATGTTAATCATCCTTCCTAACGAGATTCAAGGTGAAACCACTGGCCTTCAAAAGGTGAGACAGCACAGATTATATGGTGCATTTTTTCATTATTTGGAATTGCTGGTTGCTGCAAACATATAAAACGTTGAAGAGTTACTGTCTGCGTAACTTGCATTTTTTATATATTTTTGAATGAAATTAACACGACTCCCCTATTATCCAGCTTGAAAAGGCACTGACCTATGAGAAGCTCATGGAGTGGACCAAATCCAGCAAGATGCTTCAAGAGGAAGTTCAAGTATCTCTGCCCAAATTTAAGATGGCAGAAACCTACGGGATGGTGCAGTTTCTGCGCAGCATGGGAATGGAGGATGTTTTTGACCCACAGAAGGTGAATCTTTCAGGCATGTCGTCCAACAACAACCTGGCGGTGTCAAATGTGATTCATAAAGCCTTTGTTGAAGTAAATGAGGAAGGAACTGAAGCAGCTGCAGCCACCGGCATCACCATCACAACAACGTCAATGCCATTACCCCCGAAAACCTTTATTGCAGACCATCCATTCCTTTTCTTCATCCGTCATAATCCCTCCAACAGCATTCTGTTTTATGGACGCATCTGTTCTCCTTGAAGATACTAATGATGCGGTGATAATACGAAGTGTTTGCATTTCTCTGATAAATAAAGGCTCTAGCAAATAATGGAGTGAAATTTTTTCAATGCATTTACTTTCACAGCACTGATTCATGAGTTCTGACACAAAACAGACTACAGAATGGAAAAAATAAAAGATGCAACAGTCATGTCAATGCATTTTGTGTGAAAAAAATGGTTGCTTTTTAGTGAATACCAACCACTGCAAATAGCAAACAGATCGAAACACCATTGCACTGCAACAAAATTATGACTTAACAAAAACACATTACAATAAATAAATATGAGATGAATAAAACTGAATTTAACACATATTGCCTATACTGTATACAGCCATTACAACTTTTTCAAATGTTATTTTATGTTTGCTTTTATAGTGGATCTTTATTATTCCTAATTAGGCTTACTATTTAGCATTTTAGGCTCATTTTGAGCAAAAATTAAGTGCTTTCTCACTTTCTCAGATGTTGAAAATGTACATATTAACCAGGTGACGTTCTTCACTGCTGAGGTAGCAGTGCGAGACCATAATCAGTGTAGTTCGCAGCCGCTCTGTTGGAGAAAATAATGTTTTTTTTAACAAATATGCAACAAACAAAAATTAACAATTTCAAATATGGAATTAAGTGTGCAGGGCTTTTACTGTGAGGCTGAGTTCTCTGTGTGTGTATGAGTTACTGAATGAGTGAAGAACAGCGCCTACCTTGACTGTGTTTATGTGAATACTCACCAAGGTGGGCATTTTGACACATTTATGTCACACAATGAATCTCTTATTTACATCATATCTATTTTTTGTTTGTTATAATGAGAGGTGTCATTGTTCATTTTGAACAAAGTCAAGGGACTTTGACTCGGTACTGGACAAATACGGTGCACTCCTATGAATGCGAGTAAGTGCAACGTGCAATATGCAGGGTTCCTACACACTTTCCATTTCAAAATTCCATACTTTCTCAGATTCAAATTTCCAAACCTCTCAGTAGATTTTCAGACCATATTTAACATCAATGGTTCATACAGCATTATTTTCAGCTTTATATTTGGTATACAGTCATCTGTAAATATTTTTATTTTCTCTTGGGCTTTTTCATAGATTTTTTTGAAGTTACAACATACAGAGTCCATAAGAAGCTATTCACATGTGCATGGGAATTTTTTGCATGCTTACACATTACAACTTCTAGTTTTATATAACCTATTTCCTTTGTGCATCACTGCCATCTTACTATGAATAAAACAAGAGCATGGATGCACATGAATTAAGAGATCTGCTTGCTCAAAATTAGGCTTTTCTTATGGTAATAACAAGGCCTAATGTCCAATTTAACATCCTCTGTGGCGGCACAGAAACCATGGCACACAGTGGGCTGA